GATGGGACTGGGAGGAGATGAGGAAGGGGGCTACAGACCGGATACATGATGAATAAATTATAAATAATAAGTAATCATAATAATAATAATAAATTTACTAAATAATTTTTTTTCTGAAGAATTGCCCACTTTTAAAGCTGCCCCTTTTAGTTCACAGGGCAGGGTCAAGTCATCAGGGCCTTTGATGTATGGGAAGAAGTCCATGTCACACATCACAAATACCTAGACTAGAAAGGGTGTCTGATTCTGGCACTTTGGGTTCCTGAGCAGCTGGAATATAGGTCGAGCGTCTGCTAAACCTTGTGCTCTTGGGGGTGGCGGGGAGGAGCCTTAAGCAAGACAGGAGATACAAAGAGCTAAGAATGGTCCCATGACGTATATTAATTATAGCTCATTGACCACACTGTCAAGAGTTTTAGATAGGGATTCCAATGTAACATCTTATCTGAATGGGAAGGAATATCCAGAATAATTAGCAAGGTCTGTCATGAGTACTGGATGGGTGGGAGGGCTGGTTTGCTTCGGAGAGTTATACGACAGCAGATAGAGTAAGATCTTCTATTGTTCTGGACAAAGACTTTGGGAGGAAAAATCCTATTTTTCCCCCTGTTTTTTTGTTTTTCTATCATGAGAGCGTTCTATACTAGCAGATTATGGTAGCACTTGGTGAGGCCTGGAAGTAAACAGAACACTCAGAGCCTGACCCGGTAGTAAGCATCAATGTAGTACTTAGAGAAATGCACGGCACTGTATCCAGATGTCGAGTGTCACCATGCAGAGAGTAACACCATCTCTCTGTTTAGCATCTGCATGTTTCAGGTAGTGCTCAGGAGGCTGTGATCTTCAGTTTGGTGAACAAGAAACACAAAAATTCCAGTCTCAGAGCTTATATTCTAGGAAAGATTCTGTTGACTCTTTATTTCGCATTAGGTTCTTCCTATTTCAGGGCTGAGAATTGAACCCAAGGTCCTATTTATGCTTGGCAAGTACTCTCTGTTACCATAAAGGCTGGTGAGAGTAGAGGGGGCAGTTCCAACCACTGGAATGCTGTTCCACAATGTACGAGAGGAGCATTTTTCATCCCCCACATACTCTGGCCCATTTGTGCCTAGCCCCTCAGTGTGTATTCCAAAGGCCAATTGTCCATTTCTGTCTATGAATGCATCATTAGCACAATGGGTGCTTCCAGTTTCTTCCAAGTGATGTGTCAATGTGACCCACATAGACAATGCATGGGGATCCCTTCAAATTTGGCCGTGTCTGTGCAGATGCAATAGGTACAGCCAAATTTCCCTTCTGTGCCCACACCTGCCCTATGTTCTAGAACTCGACTTCTTTGCTGGCTATGTCTAAGTATCTGGCCAGTTCTTCAGACTTGTGTCTACCCCATTGGCTTTTGTAATAATCCATATTGTCTGTTTCTGAGGCCACCGTTGGGCAGAAGTTCAGATTTATCAGAATAGACCCTTTAAGTTGTTTCCTGCTTTGAGGAAGGAGGGCAGCTGGATCTCTGCTTTGGCTCCTGAAACCTAGACACTGATTTAGCCTCAGTGTCGGGTCAGATGCTGTGTCACTGGGTACTACTTTCCAATCTTTCTATGATATTCCAAAGCTCTAAATATGAACATCTTGTTTTACTGACTATGGATGGGAAGGTAATTATAACAGCTGGCAGCCCCCCTCTGCCTTTACTCTCCACTCAGGTTTTACTATATATGTGAGGCTCAAACACACAAGCTTCCTGCCATCTCCGCCTCTCTGGTGCTGGGATTATATTTATTATGTACCACCATTTCTCCCTACAGTCAGGAGACTTCATTACAGGTGATAACAACCCAATTAAAACTGACTTTGGAAAACAGGCTTGTAAGGTTCAGGTAACTAGAGAGGGCTGGATTCCTGCATGTCTTAGTTGGTCATCAATTTCAAGTCTCCATGATGCCCCTCTCAGCCAGGCCCTTTCTACTTAACAGTCTTACTCCCCACCCCCATCCCTTTAGAAATGGGGGTTGGGAGGAGCAAAGTGAGTCCACAGTGGGGAAGCAGAATGTTCTTATCCAAGGAAATGTCAATAGATATGGGGGAGCTAGAATCTGCAAATGCCTACTGCAGGGACTCTGCTAACTGCCATTGACAAAGATGAAGATGACGGCATGTCACTGAATAGAGCACTGGTACTGACTAATTTATGTTTGCTAAAGTATTAGGAGGAAAAGGACCCAAGTGAGAAGAGTAAGAAAGGGAGGCACACAGAGATAGCATCCAGCCCCACACTCCTAAACCTCCATTCGTGTCATGTCTGGCTTGGTGCATATCCCTGGGGACTTAACCAGCAACGTGCTGGTATCATAGGAACATTGAAATAACTTAGCCTCCTTCCTAATAGCTGCTGCTTGTCAGGTCTGGAAGGCACCCTCTTCATCTCCATTAGCGGTTGACATCTGTGTGTTTTGAGTTATTGCACTTTCTGGTGCCGACAAATACCCAGAACAAGAGTGTCATTAGAAGCCCTCATGGAGCAATGCTTTGCACTGAGTGCTGCCTGTAACACCTAGAGTGTCTTCGCTGATATTACCAAGTAAAGGCTACCTCTTAATGATTCACTTTTATTATCATTATCACTGTCACAAGGAACATCTAACTCATTTATGCTGCACTTGTTGGTCTAGAATCGAGATCAGCTATTCTCAGCCTGTGGTTCATGACCCCTTTGGGAGTCCCATATCAGATATCCTGCATATCAGATATTTACATTACGATTCATAACAGTAGCAAAATTACAGTCATGAAGTAGCAGCGAAATAATTTTATAGTTGGGGGTCACCACAACATGAGGAACTGTATTAAAGGGTCGCAGCATTAGGAAGGTTGAGAACCACTGCTCTAGATAATGTTCCTCAGCTCACCCAAACACATAGACTGCCTGATTGAACCAAGCTAGCAGGACTAGCACAGATGCTCAAGAGACTTCTTTACTCGGTCAACAAACTCTGATGTTTGGAGACGCAAAGAAACATGTTATGCGTATGTGCTGAGCCAAGAGGAGGGTAACCTTGAACAACGCCCCACTGGAATCTCAGGTATGGTACCGACAAGTATTAGGCAATGACAGCAGTGTGAGAGCCCCAAGACAAACAGCAGGAGTGTTAGGAGCCTAAGGACATGAGCAGCCAATTCCCGGCTAGAGGGGTAGAGAGCAGACTGCTGGGCCTGCAAGAAAGAGAAGAGCTATGCCCTGGGTGAAGCTGGGGATTGGGACTAAGTGATCAACAGGTCTTACGGAAGCAACAGAAACAATGCGACTCAGAATCAGGAAGCAGAAGGGAGACTGGACTTCTAGGAACTATAAGAAACTTGGTCCAGGTTGAGCCCTTAGGGAGGGGTGAGAAGAGACAGCCCTGGAGTGCCAAGTGCAGAGTTTGGGCTTCACCTCTCAGTGAATTTCTTTCCAAGACCATCTTACAAGGTTGTCTTGGGTGGTCAATACTACCCAGTCGATATCAGTACCAAGACTGTACCTTCTCAGCAGCAGCTTATGGGAGTTGCTGGGGCCTCTTGAGGTATTCTTAACCCACTGCTAACGGACATAAAGTTAACCTGTTCAAAGGCCAATGTAAAACAGCTGGAAAGGAAGGGCTATCTCACCTACTGGTAGTATCTACCTACAAGTAACATCTACCTACCTGCAAGCTACGGGTGGTTTGAATTGAGAATGGCCCCCGTAGGCTCATATAATTGAATGTTTGGTTTCCAGTTGGTAGAACTGCTTAGAAAGGATTAGGAGGTGTGGCTGTTTTAGAGTAGGTATGGCCTTGTTGGAGGTGTGTCAACTGGGGCTGGGCTTTGAGGTTTCAAAAGCGCATACCAGCCCCGGTCTAACTCCTCTCTCTGCCTGCTGCCTGTGAATCAGATAAGAGCTCTCAGCTACTACTCCAGCACTATGCCTGCTTGCCTGCCTGTTGCTATGCTCTGTACCATGGTTATGGACTCACCCTCTGAAACTGTAGCAAGCCCCCAATTAAAAGCTTTCTTTTCTTAAGTTGCCTTGGTCACTGTCTCTTCACAGCAGTAGAACAGTAACAAAGACAGGTTTTATAAGCCACACTGTGCAGGGCTAGAAAGCATCATCCATTATTACCTGAAATCCCCAAGCTGGCCTCATCAGTACATTACTTCTGCTCACCCAATCCAATATATCACCTTCCTCCCTCCTTCCCGCTCCCACATTTCTCTGAACACCCCTGCCTTTGCCATTTAGTCTCCAGAGTTAGGCTTTATGTCTTGGCCCTGAAATGCACATCTTTGGAATGAAAATGTGTGGTTGGTGTGTTTTTCATAAACAAGTAGTTGCGGGCTCTGTGGTTCCTCCCTATGACCCCATTCCCCATAATCTTACTCATCCATCAGGGACAGCAAGTGGCAAGCTCTCCCTCTGTTTCCCAAGGTGCTGCCCTGCACTGTTCCTCCTGTCCTGAGACAGCAAACCATTGGCCAAGGCTGTGGGTTTGTTTCTCACAGCAATTAACAGTTGCCCTTGTGTTAATCTCCAATCAATAGTCTGCCAGGCGTGCTCCAAGCTGTCCGCTGGAGCCCTCTACAGCACATTTTGAAAGTAACTTACCAGGAGGTAGATCTCTGGCCCTGGCTTTTCCAAAAGCCCTCACCAAGCATTTTAGGAACCAAATGCCCCCTCACTACTGCCAGGGCAAAGTGACTGAGGGACCAGGCAGGTGGCTCTAGATACCTCTTTCAATCTGATGACAGATTGGGGACACAGGTAGAACTGCATCTCCTCAAAAGTGGTGGCCCTTTGAATATTCATGAAGCTCTCATTTTCTTATGTTGGCTTTTTTAAAACTTTTTGGTGTTTGAGGTGGCTGTATTTCTCTTCCATTTAAACCCCTCATTTAAGTGTCTCTTGCTCTCCTTTTTTTTTTTTCTTTTTAATTTAAATCAACTGGCCATGGTTTCTCATTTCTTACCTGTGTCACTTCCTCTAGCTCCCTGTGGACAGAATGAGACCCGAGAGGATGGCAAGACAATCCAGCTGCCCCCTTGCAAGACAGGAGCATGGATTGTGCCAGCCATCATGGCCTGCTACCTCTTGGTGGCCAACATCCTTCTGGTCAACCTCCTTATTGCTGTCTTCAAGTGAGTGGCTACTTCTTCAGGCATACAGGTGGATGGATGGGCAGTAGGTGGAGAGAGCTGATACTTCAAAAAGCAATGCTTGCTTGTCATGTGACTCTCTGGTCTGTTTCAGCAATACATTTTTTGAGGTCAAGTCGATATCCAACCAAGTATGGAAATTTCAGAGGTACCAGCTCATCATGACTTTCCACGAGAGGCCGGTTCTGCCCCCACCGCTCATCATCTTCAGTCACATGACGATGATATTCCAGCATGTGTGCTGCCGGTGGAGGAAGCACGAGAGTGACCCGGATGAAAGGGACTACGGACTGAGTGAGCTGCAAGCCGGCACCTGCAGCCGGAAGTTCCCCAGCAATTGCCATAGGCTGTCAGAAAGGATCCATGCCCTCCTTGGTTCTCCTGTCTCATGCATACTTAGGGGGGTGGGACAGGGACCAGCCTGATGAGTGAGATACACGATAGAAGGAAGACAGTATAGCATGAGCTGAAGCCAGAATTCTTAGCCACTTCTTAGCAAGAGAGAAACCATTCTCCAACAGTGCTGGTATGCCACCTTCATACCCTTCTTGCAAGGGTCTCACTGTAAATCACCCACATTAGTGTGCACCAAGTGTTATCTTAGCTATAATTTTTAAACAGTGTGACCTGAGTTTTATTCTCCCACGCTCTTTTCTGGGACTATCACTATTCCAGATCTTAAATGTTTTCTAAGCTTTCAGCATTGTTCCTATATGATTTCTGAGGAAAATGAGCCTTGTTTTCAAAGCACAGAACAACAGCCTCTCCACCACCCACCACCCACCTTCTAGCCTGCTGTTTCTGAAGGGAAGCTTCGCTGGCATTGGGCTGGAACAGTTCCTCACTGTGTAAGAATGTGTGACTCACGGCAGGAGACCTTACATATCCTTTTCTGCACATTAAGTACCAATGGCTTCTGCAGGCTCCTACATGTCCCCCTGGGCATAAACTCTCCAGAGCCACTGGAAATGCAGTGATTAATAGACTACTGTGCTTTTTCCAAACGCGTCAAGTCTAAATCTACATTAAATCCACAAACAAAAGCCTCTGGGATGGTGGTCCAGGAATTTACCTTTGGTCCATGGGATACCAATACACCCATAGCTTAAAACCAGAGTTGCTTAGTCAGCTGTTTCTCTAAACCTGAAGCTCTTAGTGATCTCCCTGACTAAGCAATGCCCAACTTCTTTCTAGACATTCAAGTAAGACAGTTGGAAAAACCTGGCAATTTTGTTACTATTCCCTTCTGAAACACAATCTTGGGCAAACAGGGTACCCTGATATTTTGTCTTCAAATCAGGGCGGCATGGTCAAATCCTGGGCAAGGAAAGCTGCCCTGATTGCAACACTGCAAGAATATTGCGCTGATGGTAAACTCAGGACTCCAAGTCAATTTCAATAAAGCATGAGCATTTGTGGTAGAAAACTTTGGTTATCTAGAGAGTACAAGATGACTAGAAATAGAGTACAGGATAGAGGGCTGTGTGAGTTGTTTTTGTTTGTTTGTTTGTTTTGTTTGTTTAAATCACCATTCTGACCAAATGCCTGACAACAGAAACTTAAAGGAAAGATACTTTTCCTACTTCATAGTTTACTGAGATGCAGCTTGTTATGGCAAGAGAGGCCTGGCAGTGGTGGCTCTCCATAGCAGTGGGAGATGAGGAGCAGGCAGCAACCCATACCCTGGGGCATCAAAAAGCAGAAAAACAAAACAAAACAAAAACTAAAGCAGCAACGTAGCCAGGCTATGAACCTTAAAGACTCATCCACAATGATCCAGACAGACCTAATATATCCTAAAACAGCACCACCCTCTGAGGACCAGCTCCTCAAACCCATAAGCCTGAGGGGGGATATTTTGTGTTCACAGCACAGCAGTCCAGAGACCTACTGCTACTTCAGAGCCCCTTTCAAAGGGCTAAGAGTACTGAGAAGCCCTGCCAACCTCATCTACGTGATTTGGTTTTGTTGTGTTTTGTTTGTGAGACAAGGTCTCACTTGGTAGTCTTAGATGACCTGAAACTCATTATATAGACCAGGCTGGCACCATCCTAGTAATTCACTGCCTCTGCCTCCAAGTGCTGGGATTAAAGGCGTGTGCCACCACACCCAGCCGTATACATTGTTTTCTTATTTTCAGTCAGTGTAGTATTGGATCCATCATCAGGTCTCTGAACATGTGGCAAGGAGAAACAGGTGACAGACTTCTCAGAGACATCCTTCACAGGGAAGATCTTGAAAACATGGCAGGATGAGAAGAGTGAAGAGCATTTATCTACCCATCAGGGAAGAATGAAGTTCTCACCATCAGTCTCTTGCTGTCATTAAAGATCCCAGAGCACTGCCAAGTTCTTGCTGAGCCTCAGAAACAGTAAACATAGATATAGATATATAGATATATAGATATATATAGATATATATATATATATGGTAAAATCTGACATGGTAGTAGATTTTTTTAAAGAGTTAAAAAAAAAAAAAAGCAGGCTAGGTCTAAGGATTTGGCTCAGTCAATAAAGCATGAGGCCCCGAATCTGAATGCAAAGCATGCACGTAAATGTTGGGCACAGAGTCAGCAGGAGTGTGTATAAAACACACATATACACACAGCACATGCGTGCATACACATACATGCATGCAAGCACATGCGCACACACACATAGACATACACAGACACTCAGAAATCTCAAAGAAGTCTAATGAGGCACTTGTAATTATTGGGTCTACTCCTTTGGATCTTAGAAACATGCCGAGCAGAAGGGAGGGGCATGAATCTTTGGCATCGGGGAGGGGGTATATATATGACCTCTCTCCTTCTTGACCCTAAAGTTCAAAGGCTCTGTGTAATTTCACAACCACATCTCAGGCGTCTCTGCCTGGCACGGCTGTCTCTCCCCTCTGGAGCCTGCCGTATTTGAGAAAACACCTGAATTCTGGTGTGTTCTATATTCTCAGTGGTTTTTACAGTCATGTTCTTACAGCCTCCAGGAGTTCTGACTGATGTTTCTGGGCAAGCAAGAGTGATCTAAAGAAAAAAAAAAAAAAAGCCTCAAGATGCCAAGCCTCAGACCTTGTAACACTTGAGCCAATCCTTGTGCCAGGATGAGAAAGACTTTCTCATCTGGGAAATTTCCAAAACAACTCTCTTGCCCTAACCCTGTTCCAGAAACCATTCAAAGGATCACAGTTCCACCAGACTTCTGTTGCTGTAGCGCTGATGGCGACGGTTCCCTCCCCTCTATTAGCAGAAAACCAGGAGAACAATAGCACAAATAAAAGAGGCTTCTTTTTCTCACATAACAGAAAGAGAGGTGATGGCACAGAACTCAGCATGGCTCACTGAGGTCAAAGACCCAGACTTCTAGTCCAGCTCAGCTATTCCTTTTCTGTAAATTTGTTTTCAAGGTCACAGAAAAGCTGCTGAACCTCCAGTCATCAATTGTTTATGTTCAAGTTAGGAAAAGAAAAGGAAGTATAGTAAGAGTGTGTCTTTCTGACTTTCTCTTCCGCACTGCCCCCCCACCCCCCCGGATTGTAAGCAAAATCTCTTCCCAATACACCACCCTTCCTTACAGTACAATTTTTTGTTTGTTTCTTTCTTGGTCGTTGCTAATAATTTCAGGGGTGACTTAGAAATGAGTGTCTATGGCTTTCCTGACTCTGAAGTGGGGAGGGGAAGGGGGGGGAAAGTAAGAGAATGGGGCTAAACAGGGATTATCAATCAATAACATCAGCATGTCACATTACACAGCTCTGGAAATTTGGAGCCTTTAAGAAACACCCATGCTCCCAGTTGCCTCCTTTCTCTTGCTTTCCTCCTGTCCTGCCGATTCCTTAATTAAGCCAGGCTCCTGCAGTAGCCAGGGATACCCAGGTGGGCTCCAGAGACCACATGACTCTGCAACTCAGGAAGGAGCTGGTGATTCAGGCGGCCTAATTAGATTTGGATTCCGTCTGGGACTCACAATAGAATCTGGGAGACTTTCCCCAGCCTGGATTTCTTTAAAACCATCATTAGGCCACAGACCAGATGCCGTTGCGGTCCCTGCTCTGTCTCATGGCTCCCCTGCCCTCTTTTTCTCCCCCCACAGAACTCTTCATAACTGATGATGAGCTCAAGAAAGTGCACGATTTTGAAGAGCAATGTATAGAAGAATATTTCCGCGAGAAGGATGATCGCTTCAACTCATCCAATGATGAGAGGATACGGGTGACGTCAGAAAGGTGCGTTCCCTGGGCCCCGCCTCACACAGATGCTTTCTGCCACAGCCCATGGTAACAGCTGAATTGTCCTCACATCTTACCTGTTATACTTACCTTTACTGCCCAAGAAAACATGGACCTTCCGAAAGAACAGGACATTTCCCGTTCTGTTTCCTGTTCTGTCAGCTGATCAAAGTCCCAGGCTTAGAAATTCCGGGCCTTTCTAGGAGACAGCGAAAGCCCCAAGCTAGACTGGAACATGGGTGAGTCTAGGAAAGATCTGGCTTGGACGAGAAACTGTAATGTCTCTAAACATAAAGCAAGGGAGACTCAGCCCCAACTCAGGCTCTTCAACAAGTTCACAGACCATTAAGCATTCTTACCCAGAGAAGATCACCCCATTTGGCTTATGTGAGTGTTTCATGTCTTTTAAATAAGCAAGGGTTCTGTCAGTCAACGAGAATAATGACTGGAATTTTTCAAAGAATTATTTTTGGGTTTTTTTAATAAAACAAGGTTAAAAACAAAGAATTTAATACAAAAAAAATTTCTACCCAGATTTTTTTTTTATCACTTATCAAATGGCTTTGAGAGCCAAGTGACCTATAAGAAAAATCTCCTCCACAGACATAAGCATCTGGGCTCTGGTGGCAGCACCCACATCACAAGGCAGGCACGTCCTATTGAGCACCAGTAACCATGGTTTTGTCATGGGTAGAGACAGTAGGATTGCTGGGGATTGCTGAATTAAAAAAAAAAAAAAATGCAAGCTCCAGGTTCACAGAGAGACCCTGCCTCAAGAAAAAAAAAAAAGTGTAACACACACACACACACACACACACACACACAGCAAGAGAGACAGACAGACAAACAGACAGACACACACAAAGGTCAGAATCTTTGATATCTAACAGCTCTAGATCTAGGCAAATGCTCCTACATTTTCTCGCGTCTCTTACATTACTACAGACTAATAAAAACCATCCTTCCAGGCTGGAATATTCATATTTGGAAGTAGCATTTGGAAGTAGCATTCATAAGAACGCTCAGAGGGTGCCACAAAGAACTGGTGTAACCACACTTCCACTGTTTATACCCTAAAGACAGAAAGAGCAAATTGTAAACAGTATAGAAGACATAAAAGATTGATGATTGCAGTCAGTGTGGTAGGGCTACAAAGATTTGAGAAACTCACTTCTGATTTTCGTCAAATAACACTTTGTGTGCCCACATCAAAGATTCCTTTTTAACTGTGCAGAAATCACAAAAATGCAATTTTTGTCTCTTGCTCTTTTTTTTAAAGAATGCAGGCTATATACATAGGTATAATCACATATGCCAATGGGTGGTCGCATACATAGGTATCAAGCCAATATTAATAAGGTTTAAAGCTGTGCACAGATTTTATACACATCTGCCACTACAAAATAGAGAGATTTATGATATGCTATAAAGTAATTCTCTGGCAAACAGCGGAAGGAGCTGAAATTCTGAAGCTTGCTCTCATATTTGGAGGCCTTGGAAAGCTGTTTATGAATGGACATACAGACGTGTGCTTCCAGAAAATTGTGCCATGTGGGAATATTACCATAGCTGAGACACATTTCTTCAGCATATGTCTATGGGCCTTTGAGATGCTTTTTGAATTCAGAGAAACCACAGGCCTTGGAAGCAAGAAATGTAAGAAGGGAGAGGCGTAGTAAGATGCCAGGAAGGCTTTGCCTCTCTGAAGAACTAGGGTGATGAGGGCCAGATGTCAGCACACTTGAATATTCTGTGACCACATCAACAAATCCTTCTGGAAAAGCCCGGGAAGGAACAAGACTCTCTCCCTCTATGTCAGGAAACTCCACCAAGGCTCCTCCCTCCCCTGACCTGCCAAGGTGGCTCTTCAGAGTATGAGTAAGAAGGTACCAGGAATGCAGAACAGAGAAAAACCCTGCTCACCTTGTGCATAGACAGTAGGAAGACTGGCTGTAAAGAACCAGCATGGCCTCCTGAGCAAGCCCAAGGCTGCAAACCCAGGCCTCATTCTGCTTCTGTGGCTGCTGTTTGTTTTAGGAGTTTTGCTGTGGTATTGTTGGGTTCTTTGCTTGTCTAAGAAAACAAAAAGCTAGTATCTTCCAACAATGGAATGGTACGGAGCACAACAGAAATGCCCCAGGATGCATTTGGAAACCACCAAGAAACCAGGGCATCCATACTGGCTGCCTCTTTCTGAGTGTGGTGTGGCAGGTGTGTTCCCCTGCTTTATTCACAGGCTCTTAACAGAGACAGAGAGAGCTAAGAACAGAGATCTGCACACAGGTGTGTCTGTATGTAGAGATATTGGCAGAAATGCTGATAGGTGCATCTCACTGTTGACTGTGCACGCAGTCCATACAACAGAGAGAATATTATATAATCCTCCCTTTGTGTTACACAACTCGACTGCAGAGATTTGAAATCAGAAGCACTAAGAGCTTATTTCCTTTTCAGGGGCATATGCTGCCTCTCCTCTTCTCTGTACCCTGTTGTCATCACCTCTGAGTTAATCTGAAATGAGCCACTCTCTATCTGGAGATGTGAGGGACAGGAAGCTAAAGACAGGTTTCTTTCCATATAACATCATGACTTCCACAGTGACCTTCTTTCTTTGTTTCACTGTATGTGTCTCTCTCCTTGGGGATTCCTAGTGAGTCATAAATTCTTATCATCTGTGTCTGCAGTTTCTTGCTTAAGCTATTTGACTGTCGCTTAAGTGGCCACAATCATGACTGAAAATTCTCGGTGGGCTGTGTCTGTCCATGCATATGTGGAGGTCAAAGGGCAACTTGCAGGTGTAGGTTCTCTCTTCTACCATGTACATCCGAGGGGTCAAATACAGATCATCAGGCTTGATGGCCTTTGCCAGGTGAGCCATCTCACTGCTCCCAAACTCTTCAAGGGAAAAAAAAAAAAGTAAATGTAAAGGAAGCTGTCTACTTATAGAACAAACATAGAGTAAATTTGACCGTAAGTCCTTTTTATATTTTAGCTTCTACATTAAGCTCCTTGCAGTTAGGTCTATGCCCTCATCATTAAGCTGTTGAGTGGTTAGATGGTTAATCACACCCAGAATGATGGATGAAGATTGATTAACACTGGCCCTTACTGTTTTATTTTTTTTAATAACATTTAACATAACAACCACCTAGGAGTACAGAGAAGTGGCGAGAATTGGTTAAAAATAGTTCTTGAGCCTGGGATGGTATGGCATGCCTTTAATCTCAGGACTCAGGAGGCAGAGGCAGGCAGATCTTTGTGAGTTCAAGGTCAGCCTGATCCTAAAGCAAGTTCAGGACAGCCAGAGTTGTGTGTGTGTGTGTGTGTGTGTGTGTGTGTGTGTGTGTGTGTGTTGCATCCTTTTTACAGCCCCTTTGCAGCTGTCTTCCGGCTCTAGTTCTATTTTTTAAAGTCTGTGCTGTTTTGTTTTTACGGCCCCCATCAGACCTTTCCTAATGTACCTGAAGAGCTTCGTCCTTCTGCATCCCAGCTTCCTCTCATTCTTGTTGGATTCCCTGTCTATGTCCAGCTGACCTCCCTCGTTAGGCCTCAACCTTTCTGACTCTTACTTGCTCCATTTCTCTATAATGTGGAACCCTAGGCCTGGAGGGTGATAGACAGAAGGGGCCCTGCACCCAGGCTATGGCACACAGATATTTCTGAGCCCTTGGACCAGTGATCATGTGTAATCATGCCAAAACAGCACCATTATCCCTTTCAGATATCAGCCCTCTATCCACTGCCTCCACAAAGAACAGCAGGAGAATAACTATTCTTTTCTTTATTGCTCTGCTAGCACTCAAATACTATTAGGAAGCAGCACCTGGGACATGCTGGATGGAAAGCTAAAAACCTCTGAATTAAGGCAGGCACAGTAGAGCTTGCCTGCAGTCCCAGCTGTTCGGGAGGCTGAGGTAGGAGTATCACTGGGAGATCAGGTGCAGCCTGCAACACAGAGAGGCTTCTTTTAAAAGTGACTACTAAAACGAAAGAAAACCAATGGATTGTATCATTTCCAAAGTGTTTTCCCACACAAAAGTATTCAGATCCAGTTATCCTCCGTACAATGTCATTCTTTTCCCTTTGGCCCCTCCCCTTACCCATAACCCCTTCACCCTCTCCCCTTCAGCACTTCCCTTTACCTGTAACCCTTTCGATTCTCTCTTGGAGAACTCCTTTGCCATCTTCTAGCCTTAACCTCTAACTTTCCCAGCAGAAGAACCCAACGCAAGTGACTCTTATTCTTTGTTTCTCCTACAGGGTGGAGAACATGTCCATGAGGCTGGAGGAAGTTAATGAGAGAGAACACTCCATGAAGGCTTCACTCCAGACGGTGGACATCCGGCTAGCACAGCTGGAGGATCTCATTGGGCGCATGGCCACGGCCCTGGAGCGCCTGACAGGTCTGGAGCGGGCAGAGTCTAACAAGATCCGCTCAAGGACCTCCTCAGACTGCACAGATGCAGCCTACATCGTCCGCCAGAGCAGCTTCAACAGCCAGGAGGGGAACACCTTCAAACTTCAAGAGAGTATAGACCCTGCAGGTGAGGAGACCATATCCCCAACTTCTCCAACCTTAATGCCCCGTATGCGAAGCCATTCTTTCTATTCAGTCAATGTGAAAGACAAAGGTGGTATAGAAAAGTTGGAAAACATTTTCAAAGAGAGGTCCCTGAGCTTACACCGAGCAACTAGCTCCCACTCGGTAGCAAAAGAACCCAAAGCTCCTGCAGCCCCTGCAAATACTTTGGCCATTGTTCCTGACTCGAGAAGACCATCGTCGTGCATAGACATCTATGTCTCTGCCATGGATGAGCTCCACTGTGATGTAGACCCTCTGGATAATTCCATGAACATCCTCGGGCTGGGCGAGCCAAGTCTTTCAGCCCTAGCACCTTCCACAGCTCCTTCAAGCAGTGCCTATGCAACACTTGCACCTACAGACCGACCTCCAAGCAGGAGCATTGACTTTGAGGACATCACGTCTATGGACACTAGATCTTTTTCCTCAGACTATACCCACCTCCCAGAATGCCAAAACCCCTGGGACACAGACCCTCCAACATACCACACCATCGAGCGTTCCAAAAGTAGCCGCTACCTAGCCACCACACCCTTTCTTCTGGAAGAGGCCCCCATTGTAAAATCCCATAGCTTTATGTTTTCTCCTTCAAGGAGTTACTATGCCAACTTTGGGGTGCCCGTGAAAACAGCAGAATACACAAGTATTACAGACTGTATCGACACAAGATGCGTCAATGCCCCCCAAGCAATAGCTGACAGAGCCACCTTCCATGGAGGTCTTGGAGCCAAGGTAGAGGACTTATCTTGCTGCCACCCTGAGCGAGAAGCAGAGCTGAGCCATCCTAGCTCTGACAGTGAGGAAAATGAGGCTAGAGGCCGGAGAGCTGCCAATCCAATATCCTCTCAGGAGGCTGAAAATGCAGACAGAACCCTATCCAACAACATCACAGTTCCCAAGATAGAGCGCGCCAACAGCTACTCAGCAGAGGAGCCAAGCATGCCATATGCACATACCAGGAAGAGCTTCTCCATCAGTGACAAGCTTGATAGACAGAGGAACACTGCAAGCCTACGACATCCCTTCCAGAGAAGTAAGTCCTCCAAGCCGGAGGGCCGAGGGGACAGCCTATCCATGAGAAGACTGTCTAGAACATCGGCTTTTCATAGCTTTGAAAGCAAGCACAACTAAACCATCTTACCATGTGTTGCAGGAGGCTCGGGAACCCAGCACTAAAATTCTCCCCAATGTCCACCTTGTTCCCCCCTCCTTGAGTTATACCTGCTTTATTCTTAGCTGAGCAAAAACAATGCCTTGGGAGACATTAACTCGAAGGTAACCTCTGGGCCACAGATCAAGCAAGCATGCCATCTGGCCCAGTGCCAAACACAGGGGGTTAAGGCATGTTCACACTTGTTGGGAAGGGAGGGGTAAAGACAACAGAAAGGGGTTGGAAATGAATGTGTGTTGCCAGGCACCACAGAAAGCCATGAGCTCTGGGGAGCAAATGGGCTCAAGCACTCTCCATGCCAGCAGGCATCTTGGGATTTCTGCCCTGTTATCAAGAATTGAGCAGACAGGGCTAAATTGCAAAATGAAATAAAAGTAGCCAGCATACGAGATGAGATATTCTAAACTTCAATTCTGTTTTCTTTTTCACATTGGTTCCATCACTGGTGACTGATGAAGAACATCCTTTTTATTCAGTATAAGCCGGCAGCAAGCAGTTCTACCTAACGTCCCACATCCTTCTCATGCCAACACCTCTGTAATTGGTCATTATAAAGAAAAACAAGGTAACAGTCATATATACAGTTCACCTGTCTCTTCTATATTCACTTCCGGTGCCACAACTGTTTATCTCTTTAGAAGAAAATAAGGGAACAGAAAATGCCTTTTTTTTTTTTTTTTTTGGCCTTGCAATCAAAATGAAAGAAGAATTGAGGTTGAAAGCAAAAGTCATATGATTTATAATATACCATGAGCAATCAAGTATAGCCAAGTAAGCTCAGGATGAATGTAATTAGATAATTTTATATTTTTAAGTTGTTTTGTATCTCACCTGTCATCAGTGAATTCACTCATCAAATTTGTAATATTGAAACTTTAAGGAAAAAGTGGGAAGCTCTGACTTTAAATTGCCAGTGGGATGTTGTCGTAGCCTCACCATCCATAGTGTGTGATGCTGCTGTGTGGCCTTCATCATTTGCATGCCTCCGCTATGTTCTCCGAACACCTTCAAGATGTAACTGCCAAATTTCCACACCACTCATCACATGACCATTTTGTATTTGAACACATGGTTATATGTGGATATTTTCATACCTAGAGTTTAGCCATCTAATCTGGGCTCAGCATAAATTTAATCAGAGTTTTTCAAGGGCTGGTATCTTTTTTATGGAAATGTTCCAAAGTACTTTTTAAGGAAGTTCAAAAACCATAATAACCTTAGACTTGACTAGGGACTTGACATCAACCCAAAGCCATTAGTTGCAGTCAGACCACGAATATGTTTCTTATTTACAGAGCTATAAAAAAGATACAGTAGGCCAAAATAGAAAGCAAATATGCATTTACAGAATTCTATAGTTTATGCTGCTTACATATATATACATCCACATACACAGACTCATGTTTATATAAAGTATATGTACAGACACAGAGAAATTTCTTAAGAGGCTTTGACTTCCTGTCACCTGAAGGTTATAACCAAGATTATTTTTTTAATATACAAGAAGTTTTGCTGGAAAAAGTTCATTATACTATTGGACCCACTGTTGGAATTATAATTGTCAAAAAAAAAGTCTCTGTCATCTTAATCTACCCTTATATTGAACAAGAACTGTCAAAATGGCTTCCCCCATCCTCTGCCTCCTCATGTTTGGAAGCACCCATTGTCTCGACAACTTCTTCACCCTGGTTTCTCTGACACAAGCCTATTACCACCAAATGCAATCTGAATAGAGGTGTGATTCTAAGACAGTTTGTATTATACAGTCTAGAATGGAGGCAAAAGTTTCTAGATTAGAATCTGGATTTGACATGGGATGAAGAAATCTTGACAACAAAAACTTTGGATTCCTATTTGGCTCATTGAACATTTTAAAATAATAAAGTCTTTAAGAAAAAAAAAAATGACTTGGAGTCAGGAGTAGTGGTGATACACACCTGTGATTCCGGCCCTTGGAAAGAAGAGGCAGGAAGATGAGGAATTCAGTGTCAGCCTCTGCTACATATCAAGTTCAAGGCCAACCTGGACTACATAAGGCCCTGTTGCAAAAAGAAAAAATATGGAAGGAAAGAAGGAAGGAAGGAAGGAAGGAAGGAATGAAGGAAGGAAGGAAGGAAGGAAGGAAGGAGGAAGGAAGGAAGGAAGGAAGGAAGGAAATAAGGAAGGAAGGAAGGAAGGAAGGAAGGAAGGAAGGAAGGAAGGAAGGAAGGAAGGAAGGAAGGAAGGAAAACAAAGAGAGAAAGAATAAAAAAAGCTAAGACTGGAGCTCAGTGTCACAGCACTTGCCTTGCATCCTTATAGCCCTGTGTTCTATCCCCAGAGATAAAAGAAAAAAGTGGGGGGAGGGAGGAAGAATACAGAAACAAAATTTAATGTTCCTCGTCTCAGGAACTCCTTGTTTTTTGTTTGGTTTTTTTTTTTTTTTTTTCAGTGTAGCTGTAAACACCAATGTGTGTGTCATTGAGTGAAATCAGGCCAATCCACCACAAAACCTCTAGCCTTTAAATAATTTTTTTTTAAGAAAAAAATCTTTTCAGCTGAAAAGAGTGGCAAGCTCACACCCATAAAAAACCCTTTTTCATCCTTGGTATACCTCTTTATTGATAACTGTGCTGGAGACAATTCCTTATTGGTTGTCTTCCTCCCAACAGACATGCTTTGAACCTGAAAATAAATCATTTGTCTCTAAGCTTTCTTGAGCCATGAATCCCTGTGAGAACCTGATGGAAACTCTGAGCCCTCCCAGATCCCAAATTCACATCCATGTGAAGCTTCAATGTAACTTTAAGGGACTCAGGATGCCTCTTGTTCCCCAGTAACTGGTGAGAAAAGAGACTGTGTTCATTCATCATCAGTCAAGCTGGAACAGGCACTATACACTTCTCTGTGGTTCTCAGGAAGGTGGAGTCTCAGCTCTAGGGTTTGAACCAAGGTCTCACTTCTCCTTACATTAGATATGGTTAGCTAAACGTCCTCATGCCATAACATTTTCATGATTTTGAGTAGCAAGCATTCTCAAAGGCAGAGACTCTGAGGGAATCCACAACGAAATCCAAGATGACACTATCAACTGTGACCATAGAGCAGGGTTCCAAGCACTCCAGGGCCTGTTTTGGGACCTCCTTGGTAGCGAGGGAGGGAAAGAACAAGCCTAAGTATTTCTGTTTGCTATGATCACCTGAGAGAAAGAACATGACCCAGGAAAGGAAATATTTAACAGTCTTGAGCTTTTGTTCTGCATGAAAATTAAGTGCTAACATCTTTGGTGAAGTGTGTGAAATCTATAAGCCAAACATAAACAACTTCAGACACAAACTGTGTAGGTGTCATAGCCATCTCCTTCCCATGCACATGCCTGTGTGTTATTTTCAGTCCCATCTCCTTCCATTTCTGGGTTCTCTACGTACCAGTGTGGCGTTGATTCTGTGGCCTTGCACAGACAGCTTGTGTTCAGCTCATTTGTTCCACCATGTCCCTGATAGAAGGGACCTTAATTACCTGCCTCTGTGAATTAAACAGCTGTTCAGCCTGTTATTGTAGACCATACATAATAAAGTCATTGATGGCTCAAGGAAGAGATAGCTTATTCAATCATTTGCTTCAGAGGTGCCAATTTTTACATACTACGATGTATAATGATTTGTTCTAAATTGTGTGCTTGTTCTTTTCGGGAAAGAAATTAAGGATGTTGTCTGAAAATGGCCATGAAGGTTTCCTGATTGACTGCCATATTTTATATTTACAGTTAGAAACTGATAGATTTGAATGGAATGCTAGAAAGCAAGAGGATGATTGTCATGGCCAGTGTGTATTTCTGCAAGCCAAAAGGAGGGCAGTCAGAACGTGGCACTTTATAGAACTGGGTGTTTCTTTAAAGTTGAAGCTTCCAGGACCAGTTACTATTTAGCACTTTGATAAGTCCCCCTTTAAAAAAAATATATATGTATATATACATATACCAGAATAATGAAAAAGGGGGGGTGTACTTGTGAAAACACAAAATGTGTTTCTTCTGAATGTTACAAATGTATTTTAAAATCTGGTTACTATAGATAAGATTATGGTAGATCACTGGATAGTACGTTTCTTTCTTTTTCTGCATCTGTACAGTCTAACCTCCCTGGATGTTTGGGCTGTTTGGTTTCTTTAAAGATACTATTATCCAGTTATCCATCATGCTATATCTATAGGCTATGCCATGTGACATGTTGGGCAATGCTGTATTATAAAAACACATGTAAACCTATCTGTAACCTGTGTCTAACCCAGCATAGTTGTAGCATGTGGTTGTATTAATGAACGTTACAGGGCAGCTTTATAATCATTTATAAATCTGTAACATTCAATAAAGAAGCACATGTGTCAAGGATTAATTACGCTCCCATTTCCATGTTATTTAGCAGCCTCCTCCGGTGATGGGCATTTTTGTTCCCGGTCTTTATTATGTTGTTCACATTCCTCAGACCACTGTAACATATTTGTATAAGCTGATGTGTGTATCCTCCTCCAGGCCCCACGAGCTGTGAGAGGCAAGGTGTGGTTCTGTGATGGACAAGCTGGCATGTTATGCAAAAGGCTATATAACAAATTAATTTAAATATTTTAAAGTGCAGTTGGATTAGCTGTCTGTTTACGTCTGCTGACCCCGTGTGGAAGCAGTGTACAGTATTTTATAAATCCGTTCAGTTAGTAGCATTGTCTGTTGTAGATAAAGTGACGCTAATGTTTAGGTGGCTGTATATTTGGCCTAGATACTGCATTCAACGCACTAATTTTTTACAATAACAATGTGACTTGACTCAAGTAATCCTTCTCCAAGCCCAGTCTTAACTTTGTGTCAGCACACTGCACGCTGTGCTTTATGCATTTCTTTTGACTTTTTAAAGGCACTTAACATTTTAGCCCTGTCTTGCTACAGTACTTAATCCAGATAGCAACTCACTCAAACTGTTGGGCTTCTTAAAGTGGGAGCGACTTTCAGTTTTCAACAATTGAAAACAAATAATCGAGGGTTCCTTTTCTTTTTCAATTTCTTAAAGCTCTGAACAAATAATATGAAATAAAGTATCAACTGCAAGTTGCAATAGCTTGGGGACCCAGAGATGGCAAACCAGCACCACTGTGGAGTCCCAAGGTCGAGGTGTGGGGGCATGAAAGACACATCTTGGATTCTTTAGGGTTTCCTGGGTGCAAATTGCTAAACCAGAGATGAACGTCAAAGGTCCACAGTGACAGGGCAGAAACCCACAGATCACTGTGAGCAAATGATCCCACGGTAATGGATGAGACCTCCTTTCTTGTCCTGTGGCCTTCACACCCTGTGGGTGAGCCAGGCCTGGAGGTGGGAGTGAGGTAATGTTTGATGAAGCACCAGATGACTTTGAAAAGTTTGTTCTTTAAAGAAATTGCCTTTCAGTTGATAGAAGCCATTCAACATCTAGAAAGGAATGGATCCAATTTGCACAGTCAAAATGCTCCCAAAGTGAGCAGGGAAACCTTTTCTCTCCACCAGTTTTGTCCTGTGTCCTGTATCTGCAAGCCAAGCATCCTGTCCCTCAGATTAGAGTCCATGAAGGAGTTGGTTCTGACTAAAGAAGAGCAACTTTGTCATTTCTTTTTCAGATTTCAGAGGTATTGCCTTTGCCCTTATGGCCTCCTTGCACTGATCATTCCTAATACAATCAAGATGTACTGATTTCTGTGTGTCATTTGAGAGGAGATATAGGTGACCAGACCATCCAGATTAATCAAAAGAATAACTGGTCACCTTCTGCTGGCAGCACATGATCCCCCCATGGTGTTGGGGACTGGAAAGTGACAGGAAAGAAATCTATGTAGATGCCCATAGACTCTGGGACCTTCAATGCCAGCCATGACTCAAGGCCCTGGGGGAGGCAGATTGCTGAAGAATTTGAGGCACAGGGTGAGATCAGTCTTGGGCCTGGGGACACAGCATTTTTTTTTGTCCCCTTTCTTTTTTACTTAGTCCAAAGCTAGCTCTTTATTTATTTTTTCCTTGTGTGTATGAGAGACTAACAGACTCGCCCATTACCTCATATCCTTGTGGAGCCCCACACTATAACCCCAAACATCAACTACATGGTGTTCTGAATTTGACCCAGGTCTGATTGTCCATTTGACTTCTCCTCCTCCACCCAAGTTCCTAATGTGGCTGGTGTGGACCTTGTCACACCCAATTCTGAATTGCCTGTCTGAATCCTGAAAGGCTCTCTACATCTTCACTAGCTTCCCACAAATCCTCAGAACCAGTCAACTCTCTCTGTGAAGGGATTGTACACTCAACCCAAGACCCAGATCTGGAATGCAAAGGAATGGGCTTGGGAAAGACAATGCAAGCAGGATTTGTTAGGCATGAGAACATACCCATCTCACAGAAATATTCAAATTTGGGTGTTCAACTCCTGTACTAGCCACACACATATGTCTGCCAGCAGTATTCCCAGTGACCATGTTTGTGGGCCTCTGATTTGGAGCCAAGCAGGGCCAGGTTCATGATTCTCACACAGTAAGCAAATACATCAAATACACTCGAGAACAAGTGGGGAGAAGCAGTTTGCCCAACTAGGTGTGACTCCTGGATGGCTTCTGTGTACGTTGATTAGCATTTCTTTCTGGATTCAAACACAGGACCAGTGTGAGGGAAACTCAGGGGAAAGATGTCATAGCATGTAAAGACTTCTCGGTTTCCTGTCACTGGAGCATCTGACCTGAGTTTTTATTGCTGCTACCACTGTGTAAGACAGTGTAGTCAGTAAACTCTCCTCACAGCCATTTCATAATCTAGCACTTAGACTCTCACTTGTAAATGCTCTAACCATAGTTTATAATGGGGGGAATTATTCAGATACCATTTTTAAATGAATTCCTATAAATACAATGATTTTGAAATTGGGTTTACTATATATATATATGTGTATATATATATACATATATATACACATATATATACATATATATGTATATATACACACATATATATATACATCTTTTCCTTCTTTCATGTATGGATAGACAGAGGTTTGCATATCTACTGACACTATGAATATATATATATAAATCTAGAGGAATTGTTCTTTTTTAAAGGTCTTACTGGGTTCACAATGCACTTTGAGCTTGTCTGTTTAGATATATAATTTGAAGCAGAAGTTGGCAGATACTACAGGCAAAGAACTTTCTGGAATTTCTGTAACAAATGTTTTGCAATAAAAAAAACAAATACAAATAGTTTAAACCATGACCCAGCCTTCCTTGTGCATTTATGTGTCTCTATCTGTTCTCCACCATTCTCTGACTAAAATCCCTGGAGGTTCCAAGGAAATCACTGCCCAAGGCATTCATGAGTTCTCATTTTGGAAAAGTAGATGTCACAAAAACTCTTTAACTATGGGTGTGTTTATCAGCAAATAACGGATATTATAGGTCCATGTGTTGGGGTTTTACTTTTTATTTGAAACACTTTCAATTTGACAGATATCACATCTAATTCTATATTTCTGGTGCCTTCTAAGAAAAATGAAAATCTAGCCATATGAGACTTACCGTGTTTCTACACAACTGAACCATGGTATACCATTTCACTTCAGTACAAGTCCAGACTCTCCAATACACCACAGTCCCCACCTCTCCCTACTGTCTTTCATCTCTTATTTCCTTCACTTGTTGAAATTTCCTGGAAGGCCCCCATCCACACTGGAACTTCAGTACTAAAAGATGTAAAAAGGCAATGTCTAGAATGTCTAAATAGAAAAGATTTGGAGTAGCAGTTTGTTTGGGGAAAAAAGATTAAAAGCTTTTCCTTGTGCTAAAAATGTATAGCAAGTATGACTTCATTATCCCATTTAAAGTATATCCTGAATTTTTTTTCATTAGATTGGCTTTACAAGTATGGTTTTAGATCCCATTAAGAAGAACAAACAATAGCCCTTGCCTTTATAAATGTTTTAATTTTTAAAAGTATAGAAAGAAAAAAAAGCATATACACATTTATTTATTTATTTATTTAATCAATTAATCAATCAGCTGATCAGACTGATGGGGTCTCACTTTGTTACAAAGACCAGCACAGAACTCCAGGACTTGAGCAATCCTCCTGCTTCAGCCTTCTAGTTAGCTAAAACTACAAGTGCATACTCTGACCCTGGTTAGTCCTTTCTTGAAAAGAAATCTATGCCCAAAAGACACCAAGATGAATAAAGTAAGCTGAGTCCCTGTTCCTGTGAGGCTTTAACTACAGCTGTCATGAAAGTTGGATCATATCATTATCACTTAGTTTCCCTAAGAATAAAGCATGAAAAATATATTTAGAATAAAGCATGAAAAATATATTTAGAAGAGTGAATGCTCTGTGACCCAGGGGAAGAAATGTTCTCCTGGTGATGGATGGGCTATGCCTACTCAAATCCTTTGTAATAGAATGGTTGACACCATTTCCTAAGAACTATTTGCTATGCTCTTGAACTTGGATAGCTACTGTAACACACATGACATTCAAAAAAAGTACCCTAGAAAATCTCAAAGACAGATGGAGCATGGGTCTTCCTGGAGTGAGATACTGATGCAGATAAGAAGAATAAATTCTGTAGAAATAATTACCATTGCTTTTTGTTCATGTTATCTCACTTAACTGAAAGTCAGAGAACCTGGTCTACCATATAAGGAAAGTCTTTGATAACAACATATTTATAACTGGAATTTTTAGTGATTATTTCCTTCCCTTTCTAAATCACTAGTTATTTGACCTTTACTCAAACATTCAGCACACCACTCGAGTCATTTCATTAAAGCCATGGGCTGTATTGGGTCAGAATCTTTCAATATATTGCTGGGATAAAGTCTAGCAGGCACCTAGTTACCCTAGAAAGGATGTCACTTGAAATCAGAATATTGCTCTAATATTCTCTGTCTCAAATATGAAGTACTCACTTTTTTAAGTTAGATACCTAGTTTTCTAGAGCTTTCTTAGCAAAGTAACATAAACTGAGAAATTTAAACAATAGAAATTTATTGCCTCAAATTTCTGGAGATTTCGAGTTCAAAGTAAAGATGCCAATCAGTTTGTTCCCTTCTAAGGATCTGAGAGAGACTCTTTCCCCATGCTCTTGCCTTCTTTGTGGTGTTTGCTTGCACTATCTGGCATTCCTTGGCTTGTACAAGCATCACCCTGGACTCTGCCTTCATGTCACCTGATGTTTTCCCTATGCATTGTCCTGAAGTTTCTCTTTTTTAATAAAAATACAAAGCCTATTAATTAGCTGCCACCACAACCATCACCACTACCACCACCCTGAGGCTTAACTAATTCCACCTACAATGACCTTTTTTTTCCCCTAATAAGGTTACATCTGAAGTACTCAGGGCTAGGATATCCACATGTGGGTTTGGGAGAAAAAAAAAATCAAACTGTAATGTTGAGTAAATTTGTGCACAGGTTTGTAGAGGTCCTTGATCTTTCTCATGTTTTTTAAGATGGAGGAATCAGAACTCAAGAATCAATCCAAAACAACATTTGTGTTAACCAAAAGAAAAAAAAAAGTTAAATCAGTTATTCCAACTATGCAGTTATTAAAACTTTTAAATTTATATGTCTTCACATGAAAATACATCATTATATTGTCTTTTTAAAAGACAATACAAGCCAGGCACAGTACCGCACGCCTGTAATCCCAGCACTCAGGAAGGCAGAGATAGGTGAATCTCTATGAGTTTGAGGCCAGCCTGGTCTACAAAGTGAGTCCAAAATGGCCAAGACTACATAAAGAAACCCTGTCTTGAAAAAAATAAATAAAATAAAATAAAAAGTAAAATACAGGACATTGAGATGACTCAGTAGACTTTCCACACAAGCTTGACAAACTCAGTTCAATTCCCAGAACCCATATACAGGCAAAAGAAGAGAACCAATCCCTGAAAGTATGCCTCTGACCTCCACACATGTGCCAAGGCATGTAATGGCCCATATTTTCACACATACCATACATAAAAACAATTTTAAAAACTAATAATTTTTAAAGGAACTACATAGTGAATGTAGGTCAACCTAAGTGATTTAGTAAGATCCTGTTTTAAAACTAAAAATAAATTCCAGTATCATGACTCATACCAGTAATCCCAGCACTTGGGAGGCTAAGGCAGAAGGATTACCACAAATGTGAGGCCATCTTGGGCAACTCTCGGAGCCTATTTAAATGTTGCCAGGCATGGTAGCGCATGACTTTGTCCCGGCACTCAGAAGGCAGAAGTAGGTAAACCTCTATGAGTTCAAGACTAACTGGGTCTATAGAGTGTTCCTAGGAGCCAGGGTCATACAGTAACACCTAATATGAATAAATAAATCCAATAAATAAATATAAAAACCACCATAGTGATGATGATAAGAATAGTAATAATAATTACAATAGATGCTGGATACGTGGTAGAACCTTTGACTAGGATGTACAAGGTTCTGTGTTTATTCCCAAGTTTAATCAATTTTTTTCCACATAAAAAATTAATAAAGAGGGAAATACATTGTCTGATCTCAGTTTCTGTACAGCTATGGATATATTTACACATAAGTTACAAAAAGACTTGAGAGATACCTCAGAAAGTAGCAAAAGTTTTATAATATAGCTTTCCCTTTGGAAAATTTAAATGTGTAGGAAGAACAAAAGTGACCTGAAACTGAGTATAGGGGCACACACTTTTAATCTCAGTTCTTTGAAAACAGAGGTAGATGGGACTCTAATTCCGAAGCCAGCCTGATCCATATAGCCAGTTCTTGCACAGCCAGGGCTACACAGAGAGACTGTGCCTCAGAAAGAAAGAGGGGGAAAAAAGTGACCTGAGCGAAGTTGGGTGACAAAACAAAAAAACACCAACCTCAGTCAGGAGGGTTTTCTTAATGATATTTGTGTCAAAGTCCACTGTAGATATCATCCAACAAGCGAGAGCCTTCAGATGCAAGCCATCTCCTGCAACAAATGGTATAGTAAGAAGAAAATGGGAACAGTGGTTTAACTACTAATGTCACGAAATTATAATTTAAGGCATAAATATAATCAATGCCTTTCAAGCAGCTACTTTGTTCCTGTGAAAGAACTGAAATTTTTATTAAAAAGGCAAGATAGTCATGACTAAAAAGATAATTGCATGTTTTCATTATTTAATTAGAGCTGTTGGGGAAAAAAAATGGGAACAAGAAGCCTAAGTATGGCTCATCAGCATTCAAAGCGCTCAAGTAGAAGCTAATGGCCCCCGGGAAGACAGTGTGTGGACGGTTTCCCACATTTGGGTAGAAAATTGGACTACATAACCAACTCTGAAGACTCTGTGTAGAACAAGACTAAAAAGTCTTTAGAATTAAGAGCAAAGAACAAAGGTTCGCTTTGACAGAACCTAAGGAAATAGGTAGGAATAAAGATGACAGGCTAGAGTCAGGTGGTCCCAAGACTAGAGTCCCAGATAAAACAAGTCTCTTCCATGAGAAAAACTTAAGACAAGTGCCTGGAAATTGATGGGAAGCTACCTGCCCTGCACAACTGCCTCACCACTGAGAGGCACCGTCGAGTACGGTGGTCCCTTCAATTCACTCAATCCTTTCTACACTTCTGTGATGTTGGCATTATTATTCTCTGCCCCAGCTAAAAGAGAGAAGATTCATCATGTGATCCATCAGTGCCAGGCTAGAGTCTGGACTATATCCTGTGACAGGAAGAAAGTGGCTAAAGAATCCTACACATAGCTTGTGGAATGTGACAGTGTAGCTGGTAGAGGAGAGAGGTGCAGTGGAGCCTGGGGAAAGGTCTCCCTTCCAGGCAAAAGTGAAAGGAATTTCACAACTCAATAAATGTTCCTTGAGTGACTACTGTGTGATAAATACTAAGTGCCACTACCCTCTATCTGAAATAGG